CAGAATTCTTGTCATAATTACAAATCATCTGTAATTTAACTGGAACACGCATCAGCTCCAATGGACGTAGTTATTTTTTTCTAATTACACCCATGATGTTTTCTTGGAAAATTAATGAATATCTATGGAACCCCTAGGTTTTCCATCCGTTCAGAGAATGGCAAAGAGCTGGTTCCGATAATACGCCGAATATTGGACTTCTTAAATACACTTAGCGTATCAATAGCTCTATATATCAGCCAGTTGTTGATGGCAAGATATATACACAGTAGAATCCTGTTCCTCTGTACTTCCGATAAGGGACAACCATCTATAACATTTAAGATTTTAAGGCTATATCTGATGCGTCTTTCTACATGTGTTAAGTGGATGTATTTATTGTCTTTACGGACAACTTTACTTCTTCATATTGATGTTGTTTCTCTTCTATCAAAATTCAGGTTACCAAAGGACATTTTCTCAGATTGGCTTTGAAAGTACTTACATCAACGTGCATTGTATGTCAAACGTATAGCTTCAACGGCAAAAGTACAGGCGGTTTCCAATTCTTTAGAAAGCAAAATATTTGCTTGTAGGCGACTTTGAAAGGCAAGACATTCTGTAGTTAGTTGTAATGTAACTTAGTCTATGTTAGGATTTTTCCTGGACAGATGATAACAATAATCTACGTACACATGGTTCCTACCCGAGTAGCGTAAATCTACGCTGAGGCTATTGACAGTGATCATGACCTAATTTCAATCCTTGATATTTCAGTTTCTATCATTACCAACACCTATTGTACGTTGTCTGGATACTTTGTGACCAACATTCTTCTCTTGACATTTGTTAGATCCATGATCAAGTGGAGTTTATCAAGTCTCACTGCTGTTATGTTTTCGCCTTTTGTCCAATTGTTGTCCTTTTGTATTGCCTTTGTGCTCTGACTGTATACTTGCGAATGGATGATGTCGTTATGTTTATCTTTTTTAAAGCTGGTCTGGATATCAGATTCCAAAAATGAATGCACTCATATCCTTTTGTTGATGTTTATAACAGATGTCAGGTTGGCGCATTGCTAAGGAAACGCCGTATTTGTCACTTTTACATTAAACGTATAATCACTCTTGTCATTATCACAAAATCCACAAAATCCTCAAGAGGCTCTCTTCATAACAGTATAATGACTCTGCGACTTGCTTATGCTGTTTTGATACAGATTGATTAAGTTCCTTTTATACATAAATCATTATCAACTAATTCTAGAAAAAGATATATGAAATGTACACTTATCGGATAATCTATAAATCTATTATGTGTTCGGTTTCCCTCATTTCCTAATTGAATAATTAAGTTTGCTTAATTTATTTCGAAAATAGGGATTGTCTGGTGCTCGATAGCAATATCCATTTACCGTACAACAATTTGTACTGTGTGATAAAGTGAGGAAAGAAGACAGAATAATGTAAATCATTAGCTTTTCTATTTTACAGATATCCGTTTTATCATAAACTCAGGAAAATGTACATAAATCGCAATCGATCAGTACCAGTTGGTTATTTTATTTCTCTCGTAACACAGAAGAAAACAAAGACAGAGTGAGATCACTCCGCCTATGGTTATTTCATATTATGATATTATAGAAAAAGGAATGATAATGGAAAGATGGACCCAATAGCGGGTATGGAGAAATTATGGATATATTTTTTCCTGGCGGTGTCTAAAATATTTGTTATTAAATATTTTTTACTGATTGATACCGATTTGATTTTTGACTTCTGAGAGACATATCATGTAATGTCTTTTTATGTTACGCCGTGTCGACCTGTTTACGGATTTAACGACACCTGCGTGCAAGATATTCATCTCTTACGCGTGCAAGCCCTGTACTCGTGACATGTACTGGTTCGGAACCGGCAACATGACATACCTTGTGTTTATACACTACGAAAAGAAAACAAGACAGATAAATGTACTCCCGTTATTATAACCTTTCAGCGTTTCCTTTTTGATCTTCACGATTGCTTTTTCTTCATAGATTATAAAACTAAATACTAAATATTAAATATATTAACTGATACATTTACTCAATTTATTAACGTTTGACTTTGCAGGACTTATTTGTCGTAGTGGCGTTACAATCATACCCATCAGTCGGAATATTTAATTCTCAGAATGAAAAAACAAATCATTAAGCTATTCGACCTAGAAAGAGAGAGAACAAATAGGGCATGCGGTTGCTTGTCTCCCTTTGTCAGTCTCGTCCGGCTTGGTGACGTGCCAAAACGTCGTGTCCGTCTTATTTTTAAATGATTGCGTTAGAACTGTTATTTACGGTGGCTCTAAAAGCCTTAATCTTATTCCAAACCTCCGATTTCCCAGCGTAGCTAAGACAGCGGAGTAAACAATGATGCTCTTTGCTGTGTTGTGTTGTTTTATTCATGGTCATGAAATGCAAGAGTGGCATTTAATGCTCAAATGATTTCAACTTAAGCGGTACTTTAAATACGGATCTGCTAAACATCTTTTGCTTTATGTTTCACAATAACTCGTGTAAAAACCTTGTAATCTGCATCGCGGAATTTTAGGTGTCAGTTCCACTATAATAGGATTAAGTTTTTGAAAGTAAATTTTAGTTGTTTTTGAATTTATAACGGTTTATCTTTAATTGAATACTGAAAATGACTTCTTTTATTCCATTTAAAAGATGGACTCAAAGTGAAAATGTATAATCAATGTTTGATGCGCGATAAATTTTAAAACGGAAAATATAAAGTGAACCGAAAAAGACCCAAACATATACACTTGAATAAAGCTATCTATGTTCTATCACATTATCGTATGAGTTTACAATGGTGGGCTCAGTTGTAGGGAAAGGGGACAAACGTGGATCCCTTGTAGAGAATGATGACTGAAGCGGAATGGTAAATGAGGTGGGATCCCATGTAGAAAGTGGTAAATAAACTAATGTCGGATCCCTTGTAGAAGGTGGTACATGTAGCTAAGACATGCTCCATTGTAGAGGATGGTGAATACACTAATGTTGGATCCCTTGAAGAAGGTGGTACATGTAGCTAAGACAGGCTCCATTGTAGAGGGCGGTGGATAAACTAATGTTGGATCCCTTGAAGAAGGTGGTACATGTAGCTAAGATAGGCTTCATTGTAGAGGATGGTGAAAATACACTAATGTTGGATCCCTTGAAGAAGGTGGTACATGTAGCTAAGACAGGCTCCATTGTAGAGGGCGGTTAATACACTAATGTTGGATCCCTTGTAGAAGGTGGTACATGTAGCTAAGACAGGCTCCATTGTAGAGAGTGGTACGTGAAGTGGGATCCCTGGTAAAATGTGTTAATTGGGATGGATTCCCTGGTAGAGAGTAATGTCTGTGGTTAGATCCATGTATAGGGGATGAATGAGGTTAGATCCCTTGTAGAGAGTGATGCCTGTTACCCGAGGTGTGATCTAAGTGGTAAGAAATGTAGATTTTCAGACCCCGAGGTAGACCGTAGTCAAGAAATGAAAAATTTCGAACATTATAAATAGTGCTTAAGACCTTTAAGCTCATTTCGTTATAATCTTTTCCTTTTGCCCTACAGTACCAAGAACGACCTTCATGTGAACGAATGTTTACTTGGTATTGGCTCCTGCGTTGACAAACTAAATTTTAAATGACTGCTTCCTTACTTTGTAATCCTAGCAAATGTTTTACCCAACACTGACTGTGCTGGTGGACTATCACACCCCGGGTTATGCCGTAGCCTTGTAGCAGGGAATATTTTCTGACGGGGTTACATGAAATACCTGTTTAGAAACATATGTTCTGCTGTATTATTATTATACATTTGGTACCTTATCAAGGGTTGATAATAAACCCTGTTCTTTTTTTCGCTGTATTTGCCATACGCGACACGGTTGTTGATCCTGCTGATGGACTCTCTAACTCCGAGGATGGATGTTACCTTATAGGGAGAATTTATTCTAACACTGTTAACTTGAAATAGAAGTTTAGAGATAGACTATTTGCTGTAGTTAAAAATTGTAAAATGGATTATTTATAGACCGTTTTCCCTGTACGCCACATTATTCGGTTCAGTTCATTGTTTTGACATTAGTACCGCTGACGAGACCTTCATTGACGATACTGAGGTGTAGTAAAACGTTTCTGCATTTACATATTAAATTTAAATAGTTGATTCCTTTTCAGTATTTCTGTAATTGTGTTTTCGTAGAGTAACATGATGAATAAGATTGGATCACTGTTAGCCTTTTTTACAGAATTTGTTTCCCTTTACGCATATATATATATAATAAATGTACATACAGTTGTAACGACATCAGAAGTGTTAATTGTTTCACTTAAACATGTATTCCGTCACAATTTTAAATTATACATAAACTAACAATTGTAGGAGCACTCTGAATATCAGAGGGTATTCGCTTACTCAGCCTTATCCTGCTAAACTAAAATGACGGATAACTAAGATTATATTTTAACACATAATGTACTGTGTTATCCAGTGAATATACCACTATCATATTGTTTGCGTATTAACCCATGTAATATGACCTATCAGGCCTGTGATTGGTTGTAAGTTTCAATTGTTTCAATTATGACGTTTCGCATACGACAAGTACATGACATGACATACTTACGCACTGGAGTCAAAACGGCGGCTTTTTACATTTCAGGGTTGCATACAAATTGTCGTTTTACGCGATAAATGCCAACAATCGCGAGTATGTGATAAAAATGATCTTATACCCGTTTTCATTTCATATGAAATATATGAAACTCAGAGCGAATATTTCATTTTAGCTCGCCAAACAGAAAACTTCTTAGACGCGTTTCATAAATCTCATAATATGGAAACTCATGTGAGATCTTTTATACATAAAATAAGAGGAAACAGTCGACCTTCTGCGTGCATGGATAAACGAATATGAATGACATTATAATTGACTTAAGAAATTGATAATGGTAATATTAATGTTCATATGTCTTTCCTTATCTTGCAGAACCATGCAGTATATTCAGTACGTAACCATTTCATTACTACTATTAACTGTTACGGGAAATAAGAGACGACTGCGCAACCGGAAGGGGCTTAGAGAACGGTTTGATCCGGATGACGTAGAAGAGGGGACATGTCAGTTACAAGTATCGTGTAAAAATTCTAATATACCTGTCAAACTTCCAATAAGGGGGCCAAGGGGGCCCCAAGGTATCCAGGGAGAAAAAGGAGAACCCGGCACTCCAGGAATACATGGGATACCTGGGAAGGATGGTGAGTAAATAAACCAATATTTGTCCCCCTTTCAAGTGCATGCAAACACTAATAACTGACTGTCATTCAAGACATGTTTTCTGTTGTGCAATTTGCATGGAGTGATGGACAGGTTTTTTTCATCAGCATCAGCTAGTAATTATTCAAGAAACAATACTTTAATTATTTATTGTTTTCTGAAGTATAGTAATTTAAATGGCTGATCTTTGTTTTCAAAACAGTAGCGTTCGGAAAAAGCCTGCCTACTGCTAAAAAGAAATAATTTTCATCAACAACCATGTACAGTGTCGATAGGCATCTTTCCAGTACATGTTTTCACATTAATAGAAGATTATATTGAAGTATTTCTAATGTGAAAACAAAATGCCGCGTGTACATCTCATATTGCCTCGTAATCATAAAATCTTGCGATAATCAAATTACACGTGAACGATGTGACAGAGACACCTGCATGCTAGTAACACGTGTAAATCCCAATATTGATATCACTGTCTGTACAACACTACGTTCAAAGCACTGCACTTTAATTAATTGACTGTTTTGTGTCTCATTAGAAAGTATCTATAATCCTGCTGACTTCCCTATTGAGACAGGTAAGAACAGGTAAGCGCTTGTTTTTGTTCGATTGACAAAGTACGCGGTTTGGCAAATTTAGTGAAATCGAATACAATTAGCTTGATGAGTGTAATTTATTTCAACGAGAAGGACATGAACAAACGATTGTTTGTCACAGATAAGTGCTTACCTTTGAAGATACATCGGCTTAAAGTGCTTTCTGTCACTGCAAATGAAAAATTATAGCGGGTATTATCTCAGGATCAAACTTTCAGGAAATAACCACGTAGAATCTCTAATGTATATCAAAGGGTCAACAACGTGTACTAATTGACTATTCTCTAGAACTGGCGACCTGATTTAACTGTTTAGGTTAGCCAAATACATCACCTGAATAATCCATACATTTTTTGTGAAAAGGTACACTTTCTTTGCGAGATGCTGAGGCAAGTTTGTATCTAGAGGCGTTAATAATCAGTATATAAATTGTTCTTCCATTATCAACAATCGAAACATGAGACGCTAGGAACCACTCGTGATTGACTAGCTGATTATTGTGGATCTTAGGGTAATTATCACACATGATGAAGGAATGGAAATACTCTATAAAGCACTTCTCCGTCTAAATCAATGACACTATATTTGATATTATAAAGGATTTGTACCACGTCACAGAATCATCAATATCGTTAATCTAAAGAACTAGCGGTGACGCGTTGAATTGGAAGATGGGCGAATAATTTCTCGTCGCATATTTACTTAGAAGCTCTCTGCTCGACTTACTTTATGTATGGAAAGCAAGACTAACATTGACGTGCATGCACTTCAACATTCACAACACTTGAGCTCCCTTAGGGCTATAGTAGCAACATTGAGGAACTTTAAGGAAAATTATTACATGATAAAAGGTATCGGTATTATAAGATGAAAGTTTAACTATGAAGATAAAAAAAACACTCTTTATAATATCCGTTTGTTATCTTAACATCATTTTATTTATAGCCAGTCAAATATTGCATTATTTAAACAAAATGTTTTATTTGACTTGTTTACTAAATCGTGTTATTAAATATTCGAAATCTTGTGATACGTGACAAAAATAGAAACCTTTGATGAAGTTGGTTAAACTATTTCTCACAGCTATTACTTAAGCTTACCGAAGAGCTTTCGTCCTGACTACGCTGGGACTTGATCACTTCTAACGTGATTACACTTCAGGACTTGAATACGATGCGCTAATAGTCACATGACTCAGAGGTCTTTTGACTTATATTCAACTCGGGATTGATATTCACAACTTGTGATATACTGTACATTTGAAATCATTTGATTTGATTTTTAACCAGTCTTAAAATTTCGGTGTGTAAAATCCTGTGTTTTATGTTCGCTTGCTTTTTTAACGATCATTTTCCATTGTTTGAAGTAGCAGTGGATGTCTGCCGTAGACATGTATCAGCATCTTAGGCTGTTCATGGTCTTCACAGTATTGTGGAAGGTTTTGTACTTCAAACCTTTATCATGCAATCATCTGTGGTGCAGGATTTGTAAAACAAAGCAAGATTTATTTTAGAAATTATAATATATATAACAAGGTACTTAGCAGAATCAATCTTATTTAGAAAACAAAACAGCAACCAGTAAGAGCTAGATTTTTCAGCATTATGCTATTTTTCAACAGTTCGATGTTAAAATTAAAATAAACACTAAAGTGTGCAATTTTATATTTTTACCAAAGTATGGATTTTGAAAATGAGATATGCTGAAATATCAGAAAATCCGAAACAATTTTATTGAGTACACACCCAACCACGAGAACAAAGGCCTTAGTAGATATATTGTCTCAAAAGACAGTCTGCTTACTTTAGACATGTGGTAACTGTAGTAGTGAGTTGGTGCCATTAAACAAGTAGAAGCTTTAGACATGTGGCACCATTAAACAAGTAAAAGCTATAGACAGTTGATGCCATTAAATAAGTAGAGGTTATAGACAGGATGTATCACTAAACAAGTGAAAGCTATAGACAGGTGGTGTCATTAAACAAGTAGATGATATAGAAAGGTAGTACCATTAAACAAGTAGAAGCTATAGACAGGTGGTACCATTAAACAAATAGAAGCTATAGACAGGTGGTGTCATTAAACAAGTAGATGATATAGAAAGGTAGTACCATTAAACAAGTAGAAGCTATGGACAGGTGGTACCATTAAACAAATAATAGCTATAGATAGGTAGTACCATTAAACAAGTAGAAGCTATAGACAGGTGATACCATTAAACAAATAGTAGCTACAGACAGGTAGTACCATTAACCAAATAGAAACTATAGACAGGTAGTACCATTAAACAAGTAGAAGCTATAGACAGGTGGTATCATTAAACAAATAGAAGCTATAGACAGGTGGTTCCATTAAACAAATAGTAGCTACAGACAGGTAGTACCATTAAACAAGTAGAAACTATAGACAAGTGGTGTCATTAATCAAGTAGAAGCTATTTACAGGTAGTACCATTACACAAATAAAAGCTTTAGAGGGATAGTACCATTTAACAAAAAGAAACTTTAAACAGGTAGTACCATAAAACAAATAGAAGCTATAGACATGTGGTGCCATTAAACAAGTAGAAGCTTTAGACAGGTGGTGCCATTAAACAAATAGTAGCTACAGACAGGTGGTACCATTTAACAAATAGTAGCTACAGACAGGTAGTACCATTAAACAAGTAGAAGCTTTAGACAGGTGGTACCATTAAACAAATAGAAGTTTTAGACAGGTAGTACCATTAAACAAGTAGAAGCTATAGACAGGTAGTACCATTAAACAAGTAAAAGCTATAGAAGCTATAGGCAGGTTGTATCTTCAGACGGGTGGTAGCTATAGACAGTTAGTATAGACAGGTATTCGATATAGTCAAATACCTTCTTCCAGCTGGTAACTTTTGACAAATAACGGTTGTTCTGTTTAGGTGTTAACTATATATAAGTGGTAGCTATAGACAGATATTACATGTTTTAGCTACATTAATATACTTATATATGATTTCCCTCTTTGCGTGATCGAAAGAAATGAAGTTCGGCTTACTTTAGCTAGTAATGAACGATACCTAACTGAGGCAACACTGCCAGTGCTATCATACGTTCTTGTTACGGAATACCATACTTTGATTAAAACATAAAGCTGCTTTATTCGGATAATATCTATATTGTATGGTATTTGTGTCCAAAGTCAATGTAATTCTGCAGTGTATGTGAGAAACTCTTCAGGTTAATATTTACTGTCTTATTTAATCATCTTGTGTTCTTCCAAATCATACTGAATAAAATTATTCACGGCTTGAGAAAAAACAAGTTTGTGATAAGATCTAAAGCTAAGCGGTTAAGATAACAATACCTGGCCGTTTTTCTCTGGCTAATTGATTCCTTATTCTCGTCATCGATTTAACAATTAAACAGAGGAAATGAAATTTACATTCGTAATTAAGATAGTATATGTTGTTCGTCTTGCTCTGTTAATCAAGTGTTCGTTAGTGGTTACACTCCCTATAGCCAGCCACTATTCTGACGCCGAGCGGGAATCAGTGTAATGGGAGGACGGTTGTGTTGTGTGCGGCCCTATTTTATTTGATCACCATACTGAGCTACTCCAAAGTAGTATGTCTTTCTAGTTTTCCAGAATATATGGTGTTAGAGATTTATTTCGTCAATTCGATTACATTTGCATGGTCTATTGAGTTTTCGTCTGGTCTATCGAAGTGATGATTACAACGGTGTTCTTCACCAAGATAAGGAAACAATCTACACTTTTCCTTTGATCTATGCCATAATCAAGTCATGTTTACGAGTCAAGCCCTATATTTAGGTATCCGTCGATTTAAGTGGCTAGTACATAGATGACATACACATGTTGTGTGTTCAATTACTGTCTATGATTGACCGCCATCTAGTGAAATTGATTCGACCTTTGATGCAATGGCTTCCATTAACTTTGTTTTATAAAAAGAAGCGATTTAACGAATATTTGCAATATTCTTTATATTATTTAGCAAACAAACATATAACACTCAATTTGACGTGGAATTAATGGTGACCTTACCTCAACAATACCTTTGATTATTTAAAGACCCCGTATTGAGGTCTGACAAAATTTGATACAAACGCCGGAATTAGAACCAGTTCCATAACCAGCACGCCACGTTGGTTACATTTTGTCTTGCCAATTATTCCACATCAGTACTGACCTATCATATCACACTCAGCGATCTATTGTTGCGTATTAGAATTGCAATATCACACCATAATTTGTTATTCATGATTTATACAGCATGGATGTGCCTTTAAAGAAGAGTATAAATTTACATAGACATGTATAGGGCTGCAGTAAACTACTGTATGTTTTATGGAGCAAGTAGTATGTGCACTGCCCTGAACAAGCGAGGGATTTCTTAT